AAGCAAGAAGGAAAGAGAATAAATTAAAACGTTGTCTTTATTACTACATTATTGTTATTTTAATCAAGTGTTCATATACGAAATCCGGCAACAATGGATGCTGCTGTCGAGCAAGCCTATGTACGTTACAATTTAGGTTAGGTTCACAAAATTATAAAAATTAACTCACCTCCTTTAAGTCATTTGTATCGATGGTCTTTTCTTATTCGCACTGTCAAACTATTCGCTATGCGACATTTTTACACACACAAAAAAGACGATGTGTATACTCGAGCAAATGAACACAAAACTGGTACAACGAATGACTGAATCCGGCGAATGCAGTAACGAAGTTAATCTGGTTGTTACGGTGTTTGACTGAAAGTATTCAGTCATTATTAAGAATCAAACTGTTACGGTATTTGCGGGCAATACGGGGACTGACTAGGCATTTCGGGAATGACGGATTTCAGCGTTTGACGCACATAAAAAATGCAACACCGACTAGGAGTGCTGTAATTTTGAGCATTCTTTTACAATTTCCTTAAAAGAGAATCCCATGATAGTGCAATGAAACAAATGGAACCAACACAGAAAAATCAATATTAAATAAACATGCTCATATTACTCGGATCCTGATATGACAAAAAAAGCATTTACAAAAAGAGTACGGCAGCGAATGCCTGCCATGATAGCAAATGTGTTTACAAGTTTTTATAAAAATTCAATAAGCGATTCTAAGTGTTGCATTTTATGTCACTTAGTATACAAGCTAGGGACGGCTGGCTCTTAAGTTCTGCAGAGCTGCACAACTGTCAAAACTTTTGTCTTAACAGAAAAAAAGGTAGTAATTTGATCATTATTTATTTTCCATGTTATCACATAAATAGAGACAATGCCGGCAACGCTGCCCCCGCAAGACGCGGCGTCGAGTCTGTTTTGTACTGAGAAAGCATTATAATCGACCAATTGTGTACTTGTCATTTTCGTCGCGACCGCAGCGTAACATTATTCATGGGCCGCTTGAAAAGGGTCTGCTGTGCACTACTTCGACAGAAGCCGCACGCGCTTGCTTTTGTCTCTCTCTACAAAATTAAATGCGCGATTTAAGCATAAGCATGTGCTGCACGTTATACAGATCCGTACAGATCTAATGCGAAGTACGATATCTGATTGGTCGGTCGGTGCTCGGTATGAAATTTTGCGGAGCTCCCAAAACCCGGGAATATTTCGTGCACCGATTAATTTTTCTGCTGAGCCTGATACAACCTTAAGCGAACACATAAAAAATGCTTCAATATTTAAAGGAACTTCGAAATAAATACAAAACGATCTACTGGATTGTATTCTTGAAGTTTGTCATGAAGAAATATACTAAGTGACATATAAATCCGAACACCCAGTTTAAATGGTTTTATTTTAATAAAAGTTGGTGAATGTATTTATCTTACTGTAAATAACAAGTAAAAAAATGTTCAGCCTTATCAGTTGGACATTCCGGTTTTTATACTGCTTTTTTCTAATTCACTAACGCTCTAAAAATGAATATTTCAGCCGCAGTAAAGAATCAACGTTGGCGGATTTTGGTTCTTGACATCCTTTACGATCGGTTACGATGCCTAGAGCACGGAGACCTGTACGATTTCGTCAACTTAGTGAGTTTGATACTGGTCGTATAGTGGGACTTCGGGAAGCTGGACCTTCTTTTCGGGCAATTGCAGTTAGAGTGCAAAGAAGTGTAGACACTGTGGTTAGGTGTTGTCAGGCATGGCTTCGAGAAGGCCGTACGCAAAGAGCAAGGGGCACTGGACGCCGCCGTAGAACAACAGACCGTGAAGATCGCCGCCTAAGATTATTGGCCTTAAGGGACCGTTTCTCCACTACCAGGTCCATTGCAAATAAATGGTTTGCAGAACACGGAAGACCTATTGGCATGCGAAGTGTTTACCGACGAATGAGAAGTTTTGGCTTGTTTTCATACCGGCCACACTGGGTCCTCCCTTTAACTCGAGAACACCGACGTAATCGGAATCCACAGTTTTTTGTTGAAAGACATGTTCATCACACTGTTGGAGTTATGGTTTGGGGTGCTATAGCTTATGGTTCCAGGTCACCTTCAATCTTCATCAGAGGTAACATGAACGCGCAGCGCTATATCCAAGAAGTTCTAGAACCCCATCTTTTACCCTATCTTGACACCCTGGCAGATCCAACTTTCCAACAAGATAATTGCCCGACCACATGTTGCAAGAGTCACAATAGACTTCTTTCAACATAGTGATGTCACATTGTTACCATGGCCACCAAGATCTCCCGACTTATCCCCAATTGAGCACTTGTGGGATATGATGGGTAGGAGATTGCTCAATTTGCAACGTCCTCCTCAGACTCTAGAAGCACTTCGAGAGGAGTTGGTGGTTGCCTGGAATGAGATACCACAGGAGGACATTGACCACCTGATCAGAAGCATGCCTAGGCGCGTTGGAGAATGCGTAGCACATCAGGGTGCATCCACACATTATTAAAGGTCAAAGTGCTTTAAAGCAGTGCAATCATTTTGAAATTTATATCATTTACTTAATTTGATTCATTTTGAGCGTCGTAGATTCACTAATAGGAAATTTCCCTAACAAGCTGATTTCACAAAGCTATGATGCAGCCGCGGTAATGAGCGGACGGAATGCTGGAGTACAGGCAAAAATTAAACAAAGATATCCGTTTGCTCACTATGTGCATTGCTGTGCGCATCAGTTAAACCTGATTATGTCCCAAGCTGCTAATGCTCAAGTTCGGGTGTTCTTTGGGGATTTGAAAGAGATTCCGGGATTTTTTAATAATTCTCCTCAACGCTTAGAGGTACTGAACAGAATTGTGGGGAAAAAATTCCCCAAGGAGCAACAACACGTTGCAAATTTTAATATTCGAACAATAAATGTAGTGTCTGAGAACAGAGAATCACTCATTGAATGCATGGAAGAAATAGAAGAAAATTTCACTAATGAAACCGTTTGCAAGGCAGCTTGCTTATGTTGAACGATTGTATTACCAGCAAAAGAGTGTTATTATATTGGAGTACTTATATGAGGTGACAGATAACTTTAGCAACTGATTTATGTATTTTTATGCTAAGTAAATTTCTTCACATGTCTTTTAAATTCGTCATGTACTAGTCATTTTGTGGCTCGAGGTATATCATTGTAAAAAAATATCTGCGTTGTAGGTGAAGTATTTACGAGAGAATGATGTCCTAAAATGTGCCCGCCTCTCAAACTCCATGACACAAGTCATTCCATTCATCTCGTATTTTACCGTCTAAGATCCATCTCCCAGAAACCCGTCTATGATATCCATGAAATCATATCCTTGGACCATAGAAGTTTTTAGGTATTGCGTAAAATACCATTGAACTTGACTTCCCAAAAACATGACAGTGAAAGCAATTATTTCGGCTATTGTAAACTGCGCTTGCAGTAAGTATGACCTCATAGCAATGTCTACAGCATTACGTGATTATTTAAAAGTCCATTTTTCGGTCATTTGTTATGCTAATTGTAGTAGACATGTCTCTTGCTGAAGGACTTATGGGAACGCTAGCAAGAAATTCAGTTTCAGTTCTACGTTACAAATATACGACTAAATAATACCTAGTGATACGGAGAGCGATCCTGAAGGTGGATCTATTAAGCATGTATCGAAGAAAGAGACTACTTTGCAGATCCAACTTTCCAACAAGATAATGCCCGACCACATGTTGCAAGAGTCACAATAGACTTCTTTCAACATAATGATGTCACATTGTTACCATGGCCACCAAGATCTCCCGACTTATCCTCAATTGAGCACGTGTGGGATATGATGGGTAGGAGATTGCTCAATTTGCAACGTCCTCCTCGGACTCTAGAAGCACTTCGAGAGGAGTTGGTGGTTGCCTGGAATGAGATACCACAGGAGGACATTGTCCACCTGATCAGAAGCATGCCTAGGCGCGTTGGAGAATGCGTAGCACATCAGGGTGCATCCACATATTATTAAAGGTCAAAGGGCTTTAAAGCAGTGCAATCATTTTGAAATTTTTATCATTTACTTATTATGCTTCATTAAGTACTTATACAAAATTTTATTAAAATAAAACCATTCAAACTGGGTGTTCGGATTTATATGTCACTTAGTATATTTGACGCCAATGTTTTTAGGCTTAAAAATACTAATGATATGCTGATACATATTGCGTATCGTGAACTAGATCATTCATACACAAAAGGCTCCCGAAAACGTTATACATAACAGCAACAGGAAAAAAGGTGATTTCACTTGAAACTGTCATGAAACATTTATGAGACGCGTACACTATTAACCGCATGATGTGAAGAATACTAATTTTTTTGTTTGCCATTGATCGGAATGAGAATATGTATGATAGCATCTTCGTAGCCTTTGTTTGGGAAATCCCTCCTGAATTCGTTTTGTTACGACAGAATTGCTGTGCAAATCTTGGCAATGCTCTCCGCTAACTGACGATGCTGGTCTAACCTGATACCGTGACATTTTCGGAGTTGCCGGATTAAGTGCTGCTCCTCTTAAGCCACCGCTCTTTCGGAGTCCGTCTTATGAAACAATCTCGGATTACACAAATAAACGTTTCCTCTGAGGATCATCAAGTCGATTGACCTTCATCACGTCATGTTCAAGGTCGTTTCAAGGTCAAATTTATAGAAACTGCTGAAACAATGTTGGAAAACTAAATTAATAAACTGTAGCTGGACCGATTTTCAAAAAGTACAAAGCTTTCCGTCCTTGGAATTATGTGAAACTTTTATCAAAATCCGAGCGGTGCTTTCAAAGTTATATACCAAGGATTCGCGGAGAGACAAACAATTTTAATCTATACATGGCAGGCGGTAGAGTTATTTCGTAGTCCTAGAGCCATATAAGTATCCTTTGGCCGAAAAGCGACACCGAAAAATCTATTTTATTAATGAGTAATATTCGTTAAACCTCACAGGGATTATATCTTGTTTTAGGAGATCACGTATGGCTTATCATAGGAGTAGTTGCAATGCTTTGGGGTACCGGCATGTTGATCTACACCCCATATGAGTTGCTCATGGATCAAAGAATACACATGTTGCCAGGTAGAGTATTTTATATAATATATATATATATATATATATATATATAATATATAATAATATTTTTATTTACTCAATGTACAAAGATAACAAACAATATGAGTAAATAAATATAAAATCAAAACAGGCCCAATAGAAGGCATCGCCTGTACATAGACCAATAATTTAAGTTGAAACTGTAGAATGCAAATGACAAAAAAGGACAAAAATTAGCTACAGTAGATTATGTATTTAGTTGATGTTCGTATTTATGAGTTTATGAATTTCAGTCCTAGATATAGAATGTAGCCACTTTTTTAAATTTCTTTTGAAACAATTTCCGAAACGTAAATCTTTTAAGTCTTTAGGTATAATTTCATAAAATTTAGGCGCTAAATAGAGATATGATCGCTGCATTATAGATTTATGCGGTTAAGGAACTACTGTGCCACGAATTTTGTACCTGGTATAATGATTATGTTTAATTTTTTGGTCGGTGTTTACAAATTTATGGTAGTGAGTGATACTGTGTAAGAAATAAAGCTGTCTTATATCATACATTCGAACATCTGCATATAATTTTCAGTGGGATAAAGTTTCGGTTTTTTAAATATCATTTTTAGAATACTTTTTTGAAAAACATCTAAATTATAGATATGTGAGGAACATGCAGCTCCCCATGCTAATATACCATATGTGAGATGAGGCTCAATCAGTGCATGGTATAATGTTTGAAGATATTTTTCTGTCAATATATTCACAAGGTATTTAATTTTGTAGGATACAAATCTAACTTTCTTTAAAATATAATTGACATGGATGTCCCATCGTAAGTGAGGATCCAAGACCACTCCAAGGTATTTTATGTTGGGCACTCTATTAATTTGCATTTTTTTATCATTAATATTGAAGGAGAAATTTGTGTAATTTGGCAGATGTCTAGCATAACATCCAAATGGTAAAAAATGTGTTTTAGAGTAGTTAATGCTTAATTTTCTACTGTTAAACCACCGAATAATTTTGATAAAGTCATTTTCAATTACATTTTTCAGATCAGACCAGTCAGTGCCTTCATATAATATTGCAGTATCATCTGCAAAACAACACAATTAATTTGGAAAATATCATTTAAATATACATTGAATAACAGCGGACTTAAGACAGTTCCTTGTGGGACACCACACTTAATATACATTTCTTTACTAAATGATCCTGATATCTGCACAGATTGTGGGCGATTTGACAAATAACTTTCGATCAGTGAGTACGCGTTTCCTCTGAAACCAATTCTCTCCAATGCTTCTAATATTAATTTGTGATTAACTGTATCGAAAGCTTTCTTTAAATCAACAAAAATGCAGATTGAAGGGATTCTGTTATCAATATTTTGATATATTTGATTTACAATTTTAGTTATTGCGTCCGATGTAGCCTTCCCTTCTGTAAATCCATATTGATTTTCACTTAAAATTTTGAATTTTGTGAGGTATCGAATCATTCTAGTAGATAAAAACTTTTTCAAAAACCTTTGCTACACTGGATATTATTGATATTGGTCTATAGTTGTTAACATCTGTTTTTGTTCCTGATTTATGTATCGGTATTATATTACCTTTTTTTAAAATTGAGGGATATATGCCAGATTCAAAGCATTTGTTGATTAGGTAAGTGAGTGGTTCTGTTATGTCCTCTGCTATAATTTTCAAATGCTCGCTTCTAATACCATCAAACCCAGGAATTTTCCGATTTTTTAAGGACATAACAGTGGTGTATACTTCACATTGTTCGACTTTATCCAAAATAAATGAGTTCAAAGTTCTTTTTGGAGGCTGAGTATTTTGTACATTTGCTTGTATATTACTTGCTAAATTTTCGCCTATGTCAGTAAAGAATTGTACAAATTCATCGCATATCTGTTGAGTATTTTTTAATACTGTTCCCGATGTTGTATTTAACTCAGTGACACACTCTTAAATTTTGTTTTCCCAGTAATCTCATCAATAGTTGTCCAAAGCCGCTTAGGATCATTTAAGTTATTATTAAATTTATTTAGGTAATGTTTTCGTTTGGTTTGCCTTGCAAGCTCTATAAATTTATTTTTATATTGGTTGTAACAGTCGGTATTCTCTGTAGTTGGCGTTAGTTTCATTACATTATATAGTCTTTCTTTTTCTATTGCCGATGTTATTAATCCTTTGGTAATCCATTTCTGCTTTTCTCTTTGTGACTAATTATTACTTTATTGGTACTAATATCTATTAGTTTTTTTATTTTCTCTATGAACAGTCCCGTTGCTTTGACTATATTATTTATAGAGTATAATTGTTCCCAGGATTCTTGTTTGACATGATTCTGATGAAACAAAAATAAATCAAGCCTAAAATATCCTTCAATGGTTGCTCGTCTATACCCTTCCCAGGCATTTATGTCCCTTTGGCCAATAGGAATTTGAACACCGTGCGCTGGTGTTTGTTTTGTTATGGCGTTGATCTCTAGCTAGACGGAAGAGCGTGGATTGACAACTCTATATTTTTTTTGAATAATGCTTTAATATTGTCTGAACCTTATTTTTCTAGGACTTCCGCCTTTCGATTGGTGGTTGCATCCGCCCGATGAAGTGCTGTTGAAGGTATACATTTTTAATGTTACAAATTCCGAAGAGTTCCTAAACAGCACCGATGCCAAGTTGAAGTTAGAAGAAGTAGGTCCTATTATTTACAGGTAATGGATACATCAACTGTAATTCAATCATTTTTATACTCCGAAACTTTCTTAACACCTTCTTTTAAAAAATGCTTTGTTACAGGGTACTCAGAGTGTACGGATAGTTAGTAAATATATACAGGGTGGGCCATAAAGGTGTTGGCAATTTCAATATTCAACTGAAAAAAACTACGCAATATAAAAGAAAAATAAATGTATTTTTAAAAAGTAGAAAGATAGGAATTTTTAAGACAGGAATAATGTTGTTCAAATCGGCTGCTTGAAACCGAAGCTGCAGATTTAGGAAAATTCGTTGAAACGTTGTTCTCGGTATTTTGTTACTTTCCTGAACAATATTCCTCTTCAGCTGCTCTAAGTTAGTTGGATTATTCTCGTAGTCGACCGATTTGAGGCAGCCCCATACGAAATAATCCCATGGAGAAAGATCGGTGCTACGTGGTGGCCCCTTTTCGAAATGAGTTTTTCGGGAAAGACATTTTGTTATTGCTACTGTCGAGCCGGTTGTTCCGAACATTCTGATCCATTTCCGTATCACGTTGGCGCTGGGAATTTCTCTTAAATCGCGCAAACTGCGTTCATGTCGATACAAACCTCGTGCAGTAATAACCGATCTATTGTTTTCATAATACGCTCGGACAAAAAATGCACGCTGCGCTCCCGTGTATCGGACGCTCCATGGCGACTAAATTTCCAACACGCGCCCCGCGTTTCCGAAAAATTGCACCGCCAACACTCTTATGGCTCAATGTTTTTCCACAACGAAGTGAAAAATACATACAATCATACAGATTTGTTTGTACATTGCCAAAAAAATTAATATTCCCCACTCTCAGTGAGACGAAAATGTGTTTCATTATTGCTTGGTTGTGGATATTCCTACAGGATACAACTATTATATTTCAATGTAGAATTATGTTCCAGGGAAAAATTGAGGCACACGAATCCTATCTTCAACGAAAACGGTACTTTGACGTATACTGCCAACAGATCAGCCATATATTTGCCAGAGCTGAATACTATTGACATGAACCAAACTATTATTATGCCAAATTTAGCCGTATTGGTAAGATATACAAACTCTACGGTTATAAAATTTAATAGCTTTAGAATAGAAAATAACACGGATAAACAAATATGCATTTTCGGAGTGGAGTATCACTTAGAAACTTTGTACAGAAGAGAAAAATGTACAGTAGAATGAACATATTTTTGAGATTGTTGTTTTTGTGAAAGAATTAGTTTGAATATTTAAGGTAAAATGCGTTTAAATCACTTGGTTCTACTTTGAACATATGTTGAATTTAAGGAAGTTTGACATCGAAAATTGCATGAAGCATACTAAGGAAGTAATTTTATCCACGTTATTTGAAGAACATTCTTAATATACAGTGTGTAACAAAAGTTTGGAACGCATCGAATATCTGACGAATGACTCATCTCTTTTTATTAAATAACACGTTGATGATATCCGCGATATTGCCAAATCTACAGTTTTTCAGAAACTGATAGCAACTTTCGATATTTGTATTCTGCGAGAAATTCCTAATACTCTTTATCAAACATACTTTGACCACAAAGTTTTCGAAATATTTGCGGTCAAACATTAATATTTAAACAATAAAAGACGATTTTTTCACCTGAGCAATGGCCGGTATCGAAAGCAATTTGCCGTCATGTCTCACATTCACAAGCCTATTGAGTTAGAATAGCTGAAGCTTTTCCGCAATACTTGGCTTATTGCCAAGAAGTATATGGACGACAATTTGAATATTTAATATTATTTTTATTTTGTTTTGAAGCTTAAATCAACAGCTAGGTTCATCGTTTTCTTTGTTCCTAATTTGTCTCTTGTTTCCTTGAAATATCAAATACACTATTTTAATCAATATTCGAATTTCTCTCCTCTTGGTTTCAGTTATACAGGGTGTCCCAGAAGTCGACGTCAAGCCGAAACCGGGTGATAGGCAAAGTCAACAGCTATCAGAAAAATATTTAAAAAAATTTTAGTTATGTGTTTTGAAAATTATAGGTCTTTGAAAAAAATATATAAATTTCACACCCTACGGCAGTGTGTCAACTCCTGTTACTACACATATTAACTTTTTTTGGATTTTATTTTTACAATGTAATGATGAATAATGCATCTTCAAACTGGTGTCTCAACCTTACTGCCAACTTTTCTCGTTCAGGAAAAATTTCCACTTATTTCCCAACCAAGTATTCCAAAGTAAAGCTTTGCTCAACTTTAACTGGCTGTACTGGAAAAAATGTACTACGAGAGTTTGGCAAGTAACCTTAAAATTTGGCGCATTTAATAACGATTCCAAAATGGTATAACACTTAGAAGATTACTCGTTAACTTACGCACAATTTTTATTTGAAAAAAAAAACTGATGAACATTTTTAAAAATTTCCTAATTAAACAGCGATTATGAAAACGCACAAGGACCCTTAAGGATAACTGTTTGCACAACAGTGGGCGTCAAAATGCTGCTGATGATGATTTACCTTTACAGCAAATGCCCAAACTGTTTTCCTTCAGCCGCAATACACGCTCGACATCTTAAAAAAGATGCATGAACCTGCATAACTTACACGAGTGGCACGTAGCAAACCCACATTTGATGAGAGAAGATAAATCTCAATATCGCTTCAAGATAAACCATTGGACAGGAATTTTAAATGGTAAAATAATTGGTTCGTTTGAGTTCCCAGAGACTTTGACTGCTGAAGTTTATTTGGATTTTTTGAAAAATCATGTACAAAATTTATTGGTGGATGTGCCACTGAGAATTTACAGGGACATGTGGTTTCAGCATGATGGCTGCCCAGCGCACTATGCACTCTCAGTGAGAGAGTATTTCGATCAAAGCTTTCCAGGCGGATGGATAAGGCGGTCTGGTACAATACCGTGGCCAGCCTGATCACCTGATTTGAATCCTTTAGATCTTTTTACTGGGGAACTGTAAAAGAAAAAGTGTATTTCAAGCCGATTCAAAATGTAGCTGAGCTACGGCAAAGACTATTGGAAGCAGCTGAGTTTGTTAATAACCGTGGATTCGCTCGTTTAATAACCCGATCTTTTTTAAGAAGATGTCGAGCGTGTATTGCGGCTGAAGGAAAACAGTTTGAGCATTTGCTGTAAAGGTAAATCATCATCAGCAGCATTTTGACGCCCACTGTTGTGCAAACAGTTATCCTTAAGGGTCCTTGTGCGTTTTCATAATCACTGTTTAATTAGGAAATTTTGAAAAATTTTCATCAGTTTTTTTTCAAATAAAATTGTGCATAAGTTAACGAGTAATCTTCTAAGTGTTATACCATTTTGGAATCGTTATTAAATGCGCCAACTTTTTAGGTTACTTGCCAAACTCTCGTAGTAAATTTTTTTCCAGTACAGCCAGTTAAAGTTAAGCAAAGTTTTACTTTGGAATACTTGGTTGGGAAATAAGTGGCAATTTTTCCTGAACGAGAAAAGTTGGCAGTAAGGTTGAGACACCAGTTTGTAGATGCATTATTCATCATTACATTGTAAAAATAAAATCCAAAAAAAGTTAATATTTGTAGTAACAGGAGTTGGCAGACTGCCGTAGGGTGTGAAATTTCTATATTTTTTTGAAAGACCTATAATTTTCAAAACTCATACATAAAATTTTTTTAAATATTTTTCTGATAGCTGTTATGACTTTGCCTATCACCCGGTTTCGGCTTGACGTCGACTTCTGGGACACCCTGTATAAATCGTATTATTATTAACTCTACTAACAAAACTCAATGGACTTTTCAATGTCAGAAATGACAAGAAATTATAAAAAATACATTTTATTATTGTGTCGAAAACTATGGGGTCTACGTCAAAGTATGTTTATTAAAAGGTATTTAGACTTTCTCGCAAAATACAAATATCCACTAAATTTTCTATAAGAGAAACAAAAGTTGATATCAGTTTCTGAAAAACTGTGGATTTGGCAGCATCGCCGTGTTTTCGAACCTAAACTTACCAATTTTTTTTTGTTACAGTCTGTATGCCCAAACAGTACTTTCAGTGGCTTAAAAATGTACAACCCCCGTATCTTGGTGTTTATAGGAATTTTTATGTTCTACTTTTCCAGGTACTTTGCATTTTATTTTTATGTAATTTCAGTTTATCCCGTCATATTTCTACGACGCCCCGTTTTATATGAAAATGGGGGTAAACCTGATGATGAGTAGATCGAAATCTAGTCCGTTCGTGAGAACGACCATCCAGAACTACCTGTGGAACGAAACAGATCCGATTTTGGACGTTTGCCAAAAGCTAGCGCCGTCCTTGGTCCCAACAAAGAACGTCGGAATATTGGATAGGGTAAGATTTCCACTGTATTTCTATAATTGATTTGCAGATGGTCAAATGACCGTTCACTTTACCGCAGCCAAACAAGAATACATATTTTGAAGACCAGGCTTCTGTGGCGGCTCGTGCAAAATAAAACAGGTGTTCTGCAAATCCGAACTTATATAATATACAGGGTGTTTCAGTTTATTGTTGCATAACTTTAAGATTCGATAGAACCTTTAAAATTAATGCATAAAGTCTATATAAACATGGGTCGAAAAACGCGTGGCTTCCGAAATACTTTCTAAAATAGTTTTTTTTTTTAATATTTCGAACAATATTTGATGTATAACAGTGAAAATTGGTATACACCGGTTTTTTGGCACGACAAAACGAACCATGGGCATAGTTTTACTGTAGCCGCTAGAGGGCGCTCTCTACTGTACCTGTAGTGTATTAAAATGACCGAAAATTTTTTCTCAGTGCAATTTTTTGCTTTTTGAATAAAAAAACTGATTCTTCGCACTTTTCTGCATAAAAAAGCTCTCCTGTGAGTTTTCGTTATAGTTAGCCGTTTTTGAGATATTTCGATTTTTAAGGTTCGATGCATTTTTAAATATTTATGGGAAAATAATATTTTTTTACATTTTTGATTTGGGCATTACAAGTAATTAAGATGATCGTTTAGATTGTGTTTTTAAACACAGCAATAATTCCTATCTCCAAATAAACACAAAAAACAGAATATTAACTTGTTTAATTTGCCAATATTATTTTTAACAAATTAAATTAATTATTTACAACTAAAATGCTATTGGATAGTTAGGACAACATACAACTAAAGTAGTTGCTCGAAATGTAAACCCAATTGTCCAATACACAATTCACATCTACGAATGATCGAACGTGGTATAACATTATGCAAATAAGGCCTTATTTCATCACATGCATTCCTGATTCTGTCTATTAGCATATCTCTTGTGGTTACGGGAGTCTGGTACACTTTTTCTTTTAGAAATCCCCACACAAAGAAATCTAATGGATTTAGGTCAGGGGATCGTGGAGGCCAGGCGACTGGTCCTCCACGGCTGATCCATCTTTCTGGATAATTTTCGTCCAGCCAGTTTCTAACTATTCTCGAATAAAGAGCTGGACAACCATCAAGCTGGAACCAGGCCAATCTTCTTAAATCTAACATAACATCATCCCACATATTTGCATGTGCAGCCTTTAAAAATTCCAAGAAGGTCGCAGTATTTAACCTTGCAGGCAAAAGGTAGGGTCCAAATAGTCGATTATGGAGATACCAATCCACACGTTCACACTAAATTCATGCTGAAAATTTCTTTCCCGAACTGCATGCGGATTTTCATGCGACCAAATATGTTGATTATGAAAATTTAGCACTCCACGTCTAGTGAAGCATGACTCATCGGTCCATAAAACGTTACTTGAAAACTCCCTATTATTTTCAGTTCTATCAAGAATCCACTGACAAAATGTGATTCTTCGTTCTCCGTCCCCTGGCTGTAGTCCTTGCACAGGTTGCAAATGGTAAGGACGTCTATGGTCATTTCTAAGAACACGGTGAACATGGCTTGCTGAAATTCCCAAGGCACCAGAAACTCTCCTAACACTTGTGGTCGGATCTCTATCAAACTCACGCAGAATCATACGGGTAAATCTGCGCTGACGAACATTTATGTTTTGATCCCTTTGGAGATTTCCAAAACCATTTTCAATTATTTGGCGATGCACTCTTACAAATACTGAGCGAGTTGGATGTCGTCTGTTTGGAAATCTTCGTGCGTATTCTCTGGCTGCTTCTGCTGCGTTTCCATTTACAAAGCCATACACAAAATGAATCCGCTAACTCTTGATTGGAGAATAAAAATGGCATTTTTATAAAACTTACAAAAAAAAAACGGGTAAAAGAAACTAATTTCGTGCATTCACAATTGCAAAAAAACGTTTCAGGTTTCAACAGACAACAAAACTAACTGTCAACTAATTGACGTTTAACCTTATTCTGCTTTCATTTTCAAAAATATTTGCAGGCACAGCCTACTTCTAAAAATAATCGAGATACTGACTTTTTAACGTTATTTTATCATAAATAATTAAAAATGCATCGAACCTTAAAAATTGAAATATCTCAAAAACGGCTAACTATAACGAAAATTCACAAGAGAGCTTTTTTATGTTGAAAAGTGCGAAGAATCAGTTTTTTATTCAAAAAGCAAAAAATTGCACTAAGAAAATTTTTTCGATCATTTTAATACACTACAGGTACAGTAGAGAGCGCCCTCTAGCGGCTACAGTAAAACTATGCCCGTGGTTCGTTTTGTCGTATCAAAAAACCCTTGTATACCAATTTTCACTGTTATACATCAAATATTGTTCGAAATATTTAAAAAAAACTATTTTAGAGAGTAAATTTAAACACCCTGTATTTCGGAAGCCACGCATTTTTCGACCCATGTCTATATAGACTTTATGCATTAATTTTAGAAGTTCTATCGAATCTTAGAGTTATGCAACAATAAACTGAAATACCTTGTATACAGGGTTATCCAAATTAAGTGTCCACCATTAGTAACTTTGTTATTAGTGAAAATACAAAGTAGTTTGAATTAGCAAACTAGTAGCATTTTTAACGCTGGTAAAAATGAGAAATAAAAAAAACAATTGAGAGTCGTTATTTTGATTTTTTTCAGTAAAATAACATTTTTTTAAATGGAAACCCCTGTATATTATATTTTTTTCTGTTAAAGCATCAAATTTTAAACAAAAAGCTCACAATAACTTTTCTCCTAGGTTACAAATTGTTGAAGTTATGGCCTCCAATCTGAAACAATTAAATTGTATCGACAAACCTTATTTTCAACATCAACTTATAATCTTACAAAATACAATAACAATTTTTTTTAAAGAAGATGCTCGAAAACACCACCTTGTTCTTCAATACATTTTTGGGCACGTTTTTCAACTGCTCGAACTGTCTTAAGTATGGTCCTACCATCTATCTGGGTTATCTTTTCCCTAACTGCAGTCTTTAACGCGTCAAGGTTATCGTACCTTCGCTTGTAAATTTGGTTCTTTAAGTAACCCCACAAGAAGTAATCAAGTGGGTTTAGATCTGGTGATCTGGGAGGCCACTGTATCGGGCCATTTGTTCCTATCCACTGATCATTAAAAGTAGTACTTAGAAAATGATAAGTACCTCTGGAGTTGTGGGCAGGTGCGCCATCTTGCTGAAAATGCAGATGATGTCTACTTATAAGATCCAATTCATCTAAGAAATTAGTCAGAATTTCTGACATAAATTCCACATATCTTTCACCAGTTAGGGTTCCCTCATAAAAGAACGGGCCAACAATTTTTGAACCAATTATACCGCACCAAACGTTGAAACTGAAACGGACTTGTGGGCCTCTTGGATGTACTAACAAAAGATTTTCTCTTGACCAATAATGGTGGTTTTTTCTATTAAACATTCCAGAATTTGAAAAATTTGATTCATCTGTCCATAAAAGGTAACGAAAGTTATTTACATTTTGGCGACAGAAGCTAAGATACCAATGGCAAAAAACAAGTCTTCTCTCTGGATCCCCTGCCAAAAGCGTTTGAACTGGTCGGTACTTATACGGAATAAATTTGTATTTTTTTAAAATCCTTTGAACAGTACCATAACTGAAATTAGAGTCCTTGAGAATATCTGCTATTGAATTCTCACGATAAGCTTCAAAATATCCAATAACTGCAATTTCCGTGGCCTCGCTTATTATGAATTCTTTTTTTGCCCTTGTTTTAGCAAAAACATTTTCGTTGCCCCTAAATTTTCGATAAAGTCTCAGAAAATATCGTTCATACGGTTGAATGCGAGCGGGATATAATTCACTGTAGTATTCTCTTGCTCTCAAGGAGGATTTTCTGCACACTAAATAGCATTCTAACATATCACACTTTTCCTCATGGGAGAACATTTTTCTTTAAATTAATGACACAATAAAGCTTATAAACAAGTATTTACACTAATGTTTGACATTATTTGATTTTATCATTGTTTTCCAAAGCCTTCTAGTTGCGAGTATGTCCAGTTTAACAATTTGTCGCTTATCTTAATGCTGTCAAATCGCGAACGCCATGTTGTTTTCATAGCCGTCTTAATATTATAATACTGCAAATAATTAAAAATATTTATCGTTATTTTGACTTTATTTTTGACTTTAGCGGAAAAGTCATTATGAACTTTTTTGTTTAAAATTTGATGCTTTAACAGAAAAAAATATAATATACAGGGGTTTCCATTTAAAAAAATGTTATTTTACTGAAAAAATCAAAATAACGACTCTCAATTGTTTTTTTTTATTTCTCATTTTTACCAGCGTTAAAAATGCTACTAGTTTGCTAATTCAAACAACTTTGTATTTTCACTAATAACAAAGTTACTAATGGTGGACACTTAATTTGGATAACCCTGTATATATATATATATACATGTATATATTATCTAAAACCCTATATACCGGTAGGTGTAAGGTGCAATTACATTATTTCGTTCTCTAAACTAATTAGTTATTAGTTTCGGTCGCGGTACCGATTCGGGATTGATTCTGAACCACTTCAAAAATCGGCGTTCGCGGTAAGAAAATTCTGAATTTTTAGTTACAGTTCTGCGTTCGCGGATCATATCGAATTGGTACAGAACTGATTCCGAATTGGTCCTGACGTTTCTCAGATTTTTCGTGAGACTAAAAGTTCGATCCGGCTGATCATGCGCATTACCATCGTTATGGACATTTGATATTTTATCTTCCACTGCCCCTATTCGGGTTTAAGGTGTTTAACCTATTCTGTGAAAATGTGTCACCTGTGCTTTTGAGTGCTTACTGTTCCAAACATATGTTTTGTGTGTTCCATCTTACGTTCTTAAGATTCGGTGCTTAAGATTTTGTGCTTAAGATGTCGAACCATTTATCGTTTAGTGATGATGATTTGGAAGAACTATTGGAAGTTATTGAAGTACTGAAACACCTGGAAGCTGTCAATAGCGTCAATTGAATAGCAGCTTGGCAACAGCACAGAATAGAGGTCAAATTGGCAACGGTGTTGAATACGCGAACGGTTCCAAAGTCGTTCGCGGTAAACGAAAATCTCGAACTAGAAAATAACTGGACATGCGCATTTTTGTTATTCTGGATGGTCCGGTTTTAGTTCCGAACTGGTTCATTTTTTGACCCGCGGACGCAATTATTATATACAAATTTAGCCTGGTCTTTCTTATTTCTCGCCCGGCGCACTGCTTCGTTCCAACTTATTCCCCTGTCCTTCAGTATTTTTCGCCAATCCATATGAGTTTTACTGGCCTTGTATCCTTCATCGTTACTAAATGCTCAAACCATTTTAATTGGTTTTCTTCAATCCTTTGTAGTACAGATTCCACTCGCAGCTCTTCTCTAATAACTTCGTTTCTAATTTTGTCTTTCCTAGTGACTCCTTTGACTGCCCTGAGGTATTTCATATCAATAGCCTGTAACTTGCTTTTTTGCCTGTTCGTTAATACCCAGCTCAGGCTTCCAAATATCAATATGGATTTGAATACTGTTCTGTACACAGTCATCTTTGTTTTTCCGCTTATCATTAATTTTCTTCCTTAAGAAATATGTTTTCAATGTGTGATAGAGCCTAAAGTATATTCAGATAAGAGATAGACCGGACATAAACAAGACCACGTGATCATCGAACGCTATAACATTCGGCAGGGACGTATTAAGAGTCACGCAGTACATATTTTAGATAGTAGATGCTGCTTTGGGTAACTTTGTAGTAAATTAGCACAATTCGATGTGTATACGATTGGTGATGGATATAGGATCATGCGGGGGTGGGGTAAGAAATATATAATGATGTAAATATACATAAGGGTTTCAAAATTTTCGCTTCGATTTCCAACTTCGGATGCCGCCTGATGTTTGGTGAAATACAGTCGAATATAATCTCAAAATGGCGTTTAAATTAGCCTAAATTAAAAATAATCGTATATCTCTTAAAATTACTTTTAGAATATTGATTAGTATATTTTTTGATTTCTAGGTAAATATGTAACCAAATTAAAACGTTCAAAACGTAAAAAATGTGCATGGTTGAACATTGTCAGAAAGTAGATTCTTGAATAGGTTTTGCCAAAATGGGTTCAAAAATGTCAATAATTAATTAAAAAATACAGTAGCTTTATAATTACTTATAACTTACCGAATTTGATGAACGACATCTTTTATTGGAAAGATGAGCTTGATGAGCTTTCATCATCGCTACCTCCTGAAGCACCAACGTCAATAATGAATGGCTCGACTTGTTCCTCTAAAATATTGTCCAGTTCCCAGATTCTCTTTTCAACTTTGTCTTTCACGTGCTTAATACAGTTTTCCCATTTTTGCGCTGTTATTAATTCTAGTGCTTCTTTGAAAAGTCCTTTGAGGTCACAAAATTTAAAAGTTGTATTGTGCTTAGCTATATAATTTTTAACCTCTGCCCATATGAGCTCAATGGGATTGAGCTCGCAATGGTATGGAGGTAAACGGAGCACAGTTTTATTTTGACTTGCTGCCATTTCGTCAATGGCGTATTTTTGATATTCCGCCTTATGATCCTTGACAATTCTTAATAATTGTACTTTCAGCATTGCTTCTTCAAAGTTGATATTTTTCGAGCGGAGCCAATTTTGAACATCAACTTTCCTTGAAGCCGTTGTTGGGATCTTCTCCATTCTTCGAGAATGATAAGGCGCATTATCCAACACAATTACTGCGTTTTCCTCTAAGTTCGGTAAAATTTTTGAAAACCACTGTTCAAACGATTCGCCATTCATTTCCTCGTGGTAATCTCCAGTTTTCTTAGACTCAAAGCACCACAGACCGTCAACAACAAATCCATCCTCACTTCCAATATGGCAGATAATGAGCCTTTTCCCTTTACCTGGAAATCGAAGTACTAACTGCTGTAGATTTATTTCAATAAGCGAACCTTTTTCAAATGTTTTCATCACATTCAGCGAAAAAAACATTGAGACATGAGTATCAGATTGCTATAATTGGGATTATTTAGTCATATTGAAAGAAAGAATATTGAACGTCGTATGATTACTCAGCGCTTCACAATTTAATTTAAAGTTATAAACCTTTAAAAAATGAATGATCAGGAATCTGAAATACGCGCAAATATTAATATTAACAAATTATAACTTTATAAAGCTTAAAGTATGAATTAAAATGATTAGAAATATTAGGAACGGTACACAATATAAAACTTAGTAACTTTTTTTAAGTTTATAATATTCGACATATTTTAAGATTATATTAAAAAAATATTGAAATATCGAAAACACATAAAAACATGGCTTAAAAAAGTTCTAACAAATGAAAATGACAATAAAACATCCACGCATTTTATCGAAAGTTATAAAAGTTTTGTTACTTGTAATATGTTTTATCTGCCCCCTGGAATTAATGTTTAGAACCTTGTTGTCTATTACTCGTATTTACCTGCTGGATTTTTAATCCGGTGGATAGTCCATCTAGAAAGGCCCTCCTGGATGAAGTTACAGAATCATCAACCCATACTTTACTTGTAGTGTGTCCTGCGTTTACCCACGTTTCATCAAGGTAATAAATCTTCCTGTTTTGATTTCTATATTTCCCAATTTTTGTTAAATAATCCCTCCTCCATAGCACAATTTCTTCTCTATCCAGTAGTAAACTATTACGACCCCGTTTTTTCCATTTGAAATTTAAATGCTTCAGTAACGCATGGAAAGTTGATCGTTTGAAATTTGGCAACGTTGTATCTCCATTTACCTCCTGCAGTACTTTATCTATAGTAGGTATTTCATTCCTAAAGAAGAATTCATGCACTTTCCTCCTAATCGCATGCTTATCAGCTTCATCCAATGATTTAACAATACTTTTGCGATGTTTACTGGTCATTGGCTCAGAAAAGGTGTGATTTTTTTTGTATTGTCTTAACACATTAAACACTGATGCGCGACACACCCCAACTTTGTGAGAAACCTTCACAACAATTTCTTTGATGGTTGATGCCTCGTTCTCCTCGCGCTCGATCTTATATATATTCAAAATGACCTCTTTCATTTCTGCACTCAGGTGTCTTTTTTTAGAGCGTTTCCTAGGTGGACTACAGGAGTTTACAACTTCATCGGCAGTATCTGTACTACTGGGCATTTTGCGCAAGCAGTTGATAACAATAACAATCAATAACAAGGTATAACAATAACAACGACAAACTCAACAACTTAATAAGATAACAAACGAAAACGTCCAAAAAAATATCAAATTGAAATGATGCACACGACATACGTAATACGTCTGAACCTGAATGTGGCTCTGCCTTGATACGACTGCTGTGCCGCTCGGCATAGGCATTTAATTGCGAATTGACCAACCTTTTGTTTACATCCGGTCTATCTCTTATCTGAATATACTGTAGATGCGTTCATTAATGTTTCGTTGATTTCGTCTTCCATTGTTCCATCGCAAATCCGAACTTACCAATTTTTTATTTGTCAGTTCGATCCTGTGCTCCTTCTTGGCAGCAAATTTATCGATCACCTTCCCGTTGAAATTTTCATGGTCGAAATAAATTCCTTGGTCTTGATTCTTTTCAATGTTGAGAAATTTCGGTTGACATAGGAGTTGTAACAATAATTTCTAATAGCTTTTCTGTTTCTTTCTCCAATATGCTGAATCTAACTGAGCTCTGATGTTAACAGTCCCCAATAAACCCAATTCCATCGAATTATGAAGATGTGTTTTAGAGTTTTCATGCTTCTTAATTTTTTCACTCAGGTGCACTAAATCTGTAACAGCTACCTCCGTCCAAGCTTTTTCACCGCCGAAAAGTATGCAAGGAAAACAGAAAAGGGCATTCGTCCTGTTGCACCCACAAATCCAGTCATTTCTGGTGTAAATCTCCCTGCTGAAATGCCGCGTGTAGCCCTTGCCCCGACTAACGCCCTGTGTTTCTATAAATCGTTTCACGCTGATAAGTCTTTAAACCATTGTCTTTCACAACCCTTCTACACAGCCACAGTCAGTCAGTGAGTCTCTAGTCATACAACGTAAGACCCAAAATATCTAAATAAAAAACATTTCGCATTCAAATTTTAAGCCACGACACGCGACAAGACAATGTGCCAATACCGCCGAGGACCGAGCACCGACCGACCAATCAGATATCGTACTTTGCACTAGATCTGTACGGATCTGTATAACTTGCAGCACATGCTTATGCTTAAATCGCGCGTTTGATTTTGTAGAGAGAGACAAAAGCAAGCGCGTGCGGCTTGTGTCGAAGTAGTGCACAGACCCTTTTCAAGTGGCCCATGAATAATGTTACGCTGCGGTCGCGACGAAAATGACAAGTACGCAATTGGTCGATTATAATGAGTTCTCAGTACAAAACAGACTCGACGCCGTGTCTTGCGGAGACAGCGTTGCCGTTATTGTTTCTATTTGTGTAATAACATGGAAAATAAATAATGATCAAATTACTACTGCTTTTTTCGGTTAAGACAAAAGTTTTGGCAGCTCTGCAGAACTTGAGGGCCAGCCGCCCCTACCAGACGTTCATCATCGCTTCATCGAATAATTGCTTTGTCTGTCTTAACACAGGCGATGCACTGGGGTTTCCACATGCTCTCTGAGCCGTCTGCTTATTATTTTCAAAATATAAGTACGTAATATTGTTAATAGCTGTCGTCTCTTTTTAGATATATTCAAATTTCGAAGACAACGTAACCGTTTACATCGGACCAACGTTCGGTCACGACAGGTTCTTCTTAATAGACAATATGACGGATCGGAATGGCTCCCGAAGAGAGAAGGTCGCTGCAGTGACAAAGTTGTCAATTCTTCTGAGGGAGTCAGCTATCCACAATTTCTAACCAAGAACGATACTCTCAAGTATTGGAGGAAGACTTTGTGCAAAGTCGGAGAATTGGATTATGAGAGTAAGTTATATACTATGTTTGTTGCGTACAGGGTGATTCACAAGTCGTGACCAAAAATGAAACATCATACACAGGATCGCATTTTAAGGGGGGTCTACTATAAAAAATTTTCCCTCGATGGATTCATTAAAATGATACGGGGTGTTGAAGATTACAAATAAAAAAACGTTTCCAAAACTGTCAACTGGAATAAACTAAAATTTGATATGTGGATTAACCTAAGGGTAGTCCATGTCCAAAAGCATTTACTTAAAACTAACGGGCACCACTGGCGGAGATACAGGGGATTAGTGGCATTTTTCCAAATAAAAATAAAAAAATGCTGTTTTTTTTTTCGAAACGCGCAATTTTTCGAATTTAACCTTCAATTTGCTACGAATAATTACTCTTGTTTTTTTCCTAGAGTGCACTGTTTTCGTAAAAATAAAAATAAAACAAATTAGATCATAACATTGGCCTATGAGGTCTCCTGATTTGAACCCCCTGGATTTCTTTTTGTGGGGCGCTGTCAAACAACTAGTGCGTGCTGAACAAATTCATACTGTTGATCAGTTACAAGAAATAATAGATAACGCGATTTATTATGTTCAAGCCAGAACAAAATTTGCGCAAATAGGCTTTTCTTTATTAAAAAGACGCCGCACTTGATTCCGTCAGAATGGTGATCTTTTTGAACATTTATTGAAATAGAGCATTGATTATCTAATTTGTATGTACGGGGTACCTGTATGTATGTAGGGGGATTATCTAATTTATTTTTTTTATTATTACGAAAACAGTGCACTCTAGGCGCACTATTTTTATTTGGAAAAATAACGGCACTAATCCCTGTATCTCTGCCACTGTACACGTTAGTTTCAAAAAAAGACTTTTGAATGCGGACAATACTTAGATAAATCCACATGCCAAATTTTTCATAGAAGACCCCCCTTAAAATGTGGTCCTAAGATTTTTCATTTTTGATCCCGACTTGTGAATCTCCCTGTAAAGTAAATAATCACTGTAAGGTGAATATTGGGAGTAAATGATCATGGCTCAATTAAAGACTCTATGGTGAGGTACCCAACTAACTAATAAACTCTCGAAATAGAGTAGCCTTGTGGCATTTACGTTTCAATAACTTGACCAATTTCATGAATTAGCTGTATGTCAGGTCGTTATTGGCACTCTTGATTGTAAGGGATAACTGACGTCGCTGAAACCGAATCCATGGCCCATTCAGTCCGAAAATGCCTCGTTTTCAAGATACTGGCAATAATTCAACTTTGTCAAAAATATCTAAAAACTGTTACGCGTCTATGGTCGAGATGGAAGCTTGTTTCCTAGGTAAATCGGATGGGTAGATTCCAAATTCGATGTCGATACAGTGCTAGAAATTACGGCTAGCTCGGAAGCATGCTTTCCTGTCAACTTTTCACCCTAAATCCAGTCTGATGATATACTAAGTGACATATAAATCCGAACACCCAGTTTAAATGGTTTTATTTTAATAGAATTTTGTATAAGTACTTAATGAAGCATAATAAGTAAATGATAAAAATTTCAAAATGATTGCACTGCTTTAAAGCCCTTTGACCTTTAATAATGTATGGATGCACCCTGATCTGCTGCGCATTCTCCAACGCGCCTAGGCATGCTTCTGATCGGGTGGTCAATGTCCTCCTGTGGTATCTCATTAGAGGCAACCACCAACTCCTCTCGAAGTGCTTCTAGAGTCTGAGGAGGACGTTGCAAATTGAGCAATCTCCTACCCATCATATCCCACACGTGCTCAATTGGGGATAAGTCGGGAGATCTTGGTGGCCATTATGTTGAAAGAAGTCTATTGTGACTCTTGCAACATGTGGTCGGGCATTATCTTGTTGGAAAGTTGGATCTGCCAGGGTGTCAAGATAGGGTAAAAGATGGGGTTCTAGAACTGCGTGGATATAACGCTGCACGTTCATGTTACCTCTGATGAAGATCAAAGGTGACCTGGAACCATAATCTATAGCACCCCAAACCATAACTCCAACAGTGTGATGAACATGTCTTTCAACAAAAAACTGTGGATTCCTCCTTTCACCACGTCGCCTTCTAACCCTGGCACGACCATCGTGCATGCCTAAACAAAATCGAGACTCGTCACTAAAGACAATACTGTTCCATTCCTGATCCCAGAGTGACCGTTGTCTGCACCACTCAAGGCGATTACGTCGGTGTTCTCGAGTTAAAGGGAAGACCCATTGTGGCCGGTATGAAAACAAGCCAAAACTTCTCATTCGTCGGTAAACACTTCGCATGCCAATAGGTCTTCCGTGTTCTGCAAACCATTCATTTGCAATGGACCTGGTAGTGGAGAAAAGGCCAATAATCTTAGGCGGCGATCTTCACGGTCTGTTGTTCTACGGCGGCGTCCAGTGCCCCTTGCTCTTTGCGTACGACCTTCTCGAAGCCATGCCTGACAACACCTAACCACAGTGTCTACACTTCTTTGCACTCTAACTGCAATTGCCCGAAAAGAAAGTCCAGCTTCCCGAAGTCCCACTATACGGCCCCTATCAAACTCACTAAGTTAACGAAATCGTACAGGTCTCCGTACTCTAGGCATCGTAACCGATCGTAAAGGATGTCAAGAACCAACATCCGCCAACGTTGATTCTTTACTGCGGCTGAAATATTCATTTTTAGAGCGTTAGTGAATTAAAAAAAGCAGTATAAAAACCGGAATGTCCAACTGATAAGGCTGAAAATTTTTCACTTGTTATTTACAGTAAGATAAATACATTCACCAACTTTTATTAAAATAAAACCATTTAAACTGGGTGTTCGGATTTATATGTCACTTAGTATACTTTGGAATATTTTCACTATGATATTCATATTCAGCGCCCCAAATTACCTCATTGAGCAAAGCTTGACTTCCATGTAGTCATCGATAGTCCGAAAAATAGTTTCCTGTCAACTTTTCACCCTAAATCCAGTCTGATGACTCTTTGGAATCCCCCACCCCATATAAGAGAACGTACAATTATGGTAATTATTTGAGCAAATAGCTAAACATAATAGAAGCCTAATACAACCCATCGGGACCGGTGTCCCTCAAGGTTCGGTTCTCGGACCAATCCTCTATTGTGACAAATAGCGTCATCTGTTGGGCGAGTCTCCTACTCGCCAGAGCTTAATTGCCGATCTCTGCTTGATCTCCAACATTCTAGATGTCGCTTTGTGATCTTTCTCGAAGCAAGAATTGGGACTATATATAACTCGGCGGCCGGGAGATGGAGACAGAGTACTGAGTACGGTAGAGTAGCAGAGCGGAGTGGAGTATAGTGCTGGAAATGGTCACATAACAATTAGTCACACATAAATAGTGGTGTATACAAATGTTTTATCCGGTTAACTAAATTAGTTCATTTCTTTTTGTGGAATCCAGTGTTTTAGTCCACAATCAAAAGAACCCAGAAAACAATATCTAAACAACCAAGCCTGACAATAATCTGCTATACTTTGACCAAGTGTAAAGGCTCTAGGAACTGCTGTGACAGAAAATGATGAATAGAAGACCACGAAGGCCGCTACTTGAACGGCTCATTAAGCTAGTTGACAGCGCCAGCCCCACGGTCAACAGGATCCATGTTGACGGAAGTACCTTTTTTAAGCACGATCATATGTTATAATCGCCCGGCCACGTTTCGTAACGATCATTTTCGTTGCAACGCTATTGTTACGCGCGATACCGCATGTATTTGGGCAGGAAAGTTATGAGCATGAGAGTTTTACTAATTTTTTCGTTTTGTTACAAGGGGACGTCGAAAAGTACGGGGTAACAGCGTACAAGTACACGTTACTGCCTACAACTTATGACAGAACGCTACCGGAAGAAGACGACTGTTACAAGGGAGAACCGACGTTGCCAAATGGCCTAGCCGATGTATCAGTCTGCTACTTTGGTAATTATTATACAAGAGACGACGCTTACGCATTCGACAAGGCTTGCTTAAGTTCATATCGCTACACTATCAAGCGATTGGAGCTTTAGGTTGTATTTAGCTTGAATTGGTAAAAGTAGACTTTAAAAAACGTTCCCTTCATTCTGACAGAATAAAGGTTTGCTACTTTGAAAACAGTTTGGTTGAAATAAAATAGTAAAACTCTTGATCGGTGGTAAGAGAGCATCAAATATGTTCTAGGTATATGTTTACTTAGAATAGTTCGAAAAAAATGATCAGCTTGTCAAGCATATCGATAATAATAATTAATAAATTCATTATTACTGTTTTTTTCTATGATACCATAGTATACTTTTGGCAGTCTCAGATACCGCATATGTAAACGTGATCATTGTTCTTATTTAACACTTGAAGTTATGAAAAGTTGATGACTATTGTGCCTAATGAAAATTTACATTATAGTTTACGTTTGCGATAATTGCGGAATATACAGGGTGGCCCATCCATGTGTGGACGGAATATTACTCATAAACGAATACATTTTGGGAAAATCTATTTATGGCATGATATACATGACATTTGAGGGCACATTTCTAAAATATTGGCAATTATACAGGGTGTCCCAATTTTGACCTGCACATCAAAGTTGTGATTTTTTAAACGAAATGCCTCCAATTTTATTGCAATTCAAAAGAAGAAGATTGATATAACATACTATGGAGTTTTGGTAATTAGCTACTGAGATGTAAGGTGTTTCGTCCAGAAAAACCGCCGACTTTTGAAATTTGGAATGCAGAGTTTTGTATCAAAAAAAAACTTACCTCAGCTTTTATCTTATTTGTTACTTTTCCGAATTTTCATTTTTTACTCCAGGAGTCCAAATAGTTACGCACACGATTATGATAATGCGCAACTGATTCGCCACTTGGATTATTTATACATTTTTTACTATATTCCACTGCTCCACTTGATTCAAAACGTTCTCGTACTGTGGAAAATGTGCCCAGGAAACTATTTCTTTGGGCGAAGCCCAAAACGAACACCGTATTCACCATTTCTTCTTTAGAAAAATTCGTTTTCAAACACGTTTTTATTATAATGCTCACAAAGCTAATTTTGACAATTTATTTGTTTCCAAGGATGATGCGATATTTTAGGGAGTTAAGCCGTTCCATAAAAAACGTGTTAATAACCGAAAAAATAGCCGTAAAAACCCTTATGTGTCTAGTATAAAAAAAAGCTTATAAAAAATTGAATCCAAACTTGCTCAAATATACAGGGTGATGCATTTGGAATTTTTGAGAAAAACTACAATTTGCGTTTTTGACCACCCTGTATGAGCAAAAATTGGAATTCTAAAAAGTAACGAATAAGATAAAAGCTGAGGCGTGCAAGTTTTTTTGATACAAAATTCAGAACTCCAATTTCAAAATGGCGGACTGAGGTGTTGCCGAAGTGGGGGTTTTTCTAGACAAAACACCCTATATCTCAGTAGCTAATTACCAAAACCCCATAGTATTGTACATCAATTTTTTTCTTTGGAATTGGTTTATCCATATATGCAATAAAATTTGAGGCATTCCATTTGAAAAATCACAACTTTGATATGTAGGTCGAAATTGGGACACCCTGTATAATGACTAATATTTTATAAATGTGCCTTCAAATAGATTTTTCCAAAATGTATTTGTTTATGGTAATATTCCGTCCACACGTGGATGGGCCACCCTGTATAATGCCTCTTTGACAGAAACTTAAAGCAAGGAGTTGCTTTTCGATTTTTTCTCATTCTACCGTTTTGCTACACACTTTGAAGACAAGGAAAAGTTGCTATTCAACACGATGCTCTTAATATATAACTTTATGTTTTATTAACTATTAAAAGGGAAGAGAGAAAAGCGTCTATGCCAAAATCACCTATTGCACACTGCAGCAAAAATATTCATCCAAGGATCAAATCTTCTATACAATAACGCAAGTTTGTTCAAAACAAGGATTGAAAAGCTTATTTTATATACTAAGTGACATATAAATCCGAACACCCAGTTTAAATGGTTTTATTTTAATAAAATTTTGTATAAGTAATGTCAGTAATGTGTGGATGCACCCTGATGTGCTACGCATTCTCCAACGCGCCTAGGCATGCTTCTGATCAGGTGATCAATGTCCTCCTGTAGTATCTCATTCCAGGCAACCACCAACTCCTCTCGAAGTGCTTCTAGAGTCTGAGGAGGACGTTGCAAATTGAGCAATCTCCTACCCATCATATCCCCCACGTGCTCAATTGGGGATAAGTCGGGAGATCTTGGTGGCCATGGTAACAATGTGACATCATTATGTTGAAAGAAGTCTATTGTGACTCTTGCAACATGTGGTCGGGCATTATCCTGTTGGAAAGTTGGATCTGCCAGGGTGTCAAGATAGGGTAAAAGATGGGTTCTAGAACATCGTGGATATAACGCTGCGCGTTCATGTTACCTCTGATGAAGATTAAAGATGACCTGGAACCATAAGCTATAGCACCCCAAACCATAACTCCAACAGTGTGACGAACATGTCTTTCAACAAAAAACTGTGGATTCCTCCTTTCACCACGTCGCCTTTTAACCCTGGCACGACCATCGTGCATGCCTAAACAAAATCGAGACTCGTCACTAAAGACAATACTGTTCCATTCCTGATCCCAGAGTGACCGTTGTCTGCACCACTCAAGGCGATTACGTCGGTGTTCTCGAGTTAAAGGGAGGACCCAGTGTGGCTGGTATGAAAACAAGCCAAAACTTCTCATTCGTCGGTAAACACTTCGCATGCCAATAGGTGTTCTGCAAACCATTCATTGGCAATGGACCTGGTAGTGAAGAAACGGTCCGTTAAGGCCAATAATCTTTGGCGGCGATCTTCACGGTCTGTTGTTCTACGGCCCCTTGCTCTTTGCGTACGGCCTTCTCGAAGCCTTGCCTGACAACACCTAACCACAGTGTCTACACTTCTTTGCACTCTAACTGCAATTGCCCGAAAAGAAAGTCCAGCTTCCCGAAGTCCCACTATACGGCCCCTATCAAACTCACTAAGTTGACGAAATCGTACAGGTCTCCGTACTCTAGGCATCGTAACCGATCGTAAAGGATGTCAAGAACCAAAATCCGCCAACGTTGATTCTTTACTGCGGCTGAAATATTCATTTTTAGCGCGTTAGTGAATTAAAAAAAAGCAGTATAAAAACCGGAATGTCCAACTGATAAGGCTGAAAATTTCTTCACTTGTTATTTACAATAAGATAAATACATTCACCAACTTTTATTAAAATAAAGCTATTTAAACTGGGTGTTCGGATTTATATGTCACTTAGTATATATTATATCTTTTACTTTAATATATTTTGAGAAGAAAACAGACTGTACTTAAACTATAGCAACGCTTGCACCATTTTGGTTGCACATCAGTGCTTGCTCGAAGCTCACCATTCAATATGTGAATGACTTTTTACAAGAGTTATCTACCTCATTTGTTGCCATTTTTCTAACCACCTTTTTCCAGACACCGCCATAGCTGCTAGTTTTCCTCACTACCTATATGGTGATGATGTCGTACAAAACTATGTGGAAGGACTAAATCCCGATGTAAAGAAACATGAGTCGTATGTAATAGTTGAACCGGTAAGTATAAAAACTTGTTGCGTAAAAGGTAGTGAAAATTCCTGTAACGTATCATCGCCATCTCTACAAGCTTTTTTTGATATGATGTACGAGCTATCCAAGATATTGGAAGAGCAAGTAGATAGGAACAAAATACGGATCATCAAAATTTTTTTGTCGAAAAATTCGGCAAAGGTGCGATTTGTCTTCGATACATTTTTCAATATCTCCACAATTTGAAAATAAAACCTTATAGTATGTTATATCAAATTATTTCGTTTGAACGGTACTATCCAATTCTGCAATAAATTAGAAAAAGATATGGTTGAGTCACCACGTAGTTATGAATAATCCTGTAGGAAAAAAGTATTTTCCAAGTCTGTAGGCAACAATGTTTGTATCCAGCTTTCTAGATATCGTGCGTAATGACGGGGTTATCGACCGAGTCCGCACTAAAAAATCACCCTGTTTATGTGCATATAAACCTTTCTCAAAATGGATCCAAAAATCGAAACATAGGGTGGTGTGACATCTATGATTGTTCTATTTCATGACCAACTTGTTCTATTTCTATTATAGTCTGGTATCGAAAGGCATCAGTCTCTCAAAACACATCGCCACTGCTAACGCGTCTTTGTACAGGTCCGGATTCGCGCGCACGCCTTTGCCGATACAAAGGCACGCCGCGCTGCCAGTAGCGTACGATGTATTATGCTACTCTCTTCCATTTTCGTAATCATGTATAGAAACATAAATACTTATACGGTGAAACTTTGCGGATCGACTAAGCTATATTTTTTATTTTTAGAATACAGGGATACCATTGCATGGTATAGCGAGATCCCAGATAAATCTAGTCATGAAGAATATGAGGGGTTTCAATCAGAAAATGCAAAAGTTCAGTGATATGTCCATCCCGCTTGTTTGGTTAGAATACGTAAGTATAATAATGCACTTCACATAATCAGCTTAGTCTGTAACGATCAGATGGGTCGATATACAGGGTATCCCATTTTTGAGCTTCGCAGCTAAATATTTTGAAAACTACGCACCCTAGAGAAAAAAGTTTCAAACAAAAGTTTTTTCGAGAAAGGATGGTGATCCTGACCTTGACCATTTCGAGGTCAAGCGCATTTTGTCAAATGGAGCTTCCGCTTTTTCACAACGGAATTGGAAAGAGGGGGAAATTTTTCTTCCGCATATGACCTTGACTATGATTCTCAAAGCCATTTAAAGTTGAGAAAAAACTTATCTAGCACAGCGGTGGGGTTTGTGGAGGTCACCTTTGGTGGTGGTGGTCAAATGGCAACATGACCTTGACCATCACCTTCAAGGTCACGTCAACATTTTATACGTTTAAATATAACACTGCTTGCTCTTTGCAGCTTTGACATAAAAATCAAGAATTTGTCTTACAAGTTACGTTTAAGAGGGAAATGACCTTGACCTTGAGTTCTAATATAAATTTCCTGCTTTTTTTCAATTCAGGATAAAAATAAGGGATTTGTTTTGAAAAATTTTTCTTGACCTTGGAAGATCGTGGTCAAGGTCACCTGTGGGTAACATCCACAAACCTGACAAGCGTGCTGACGAACATTTTTATTAAAAAAAATTGGTTTTTAATGTCTTTACTTTCGCTTGAAATAGCCTTGCCAATTGCGGTTTAAAAAAGGGCGGGTTCTATTTGAAAATATTCGCGTGACCTTGAAGGTCTTTGTCAATATCACCATTGTTACTGAAGAAATGTGCTGCTGCTATTTTTTGTACGTTCTGAATTAGATTCTTAGTTATTGTCAGTTGATGTCAATTCATATTTCATTTTTGCAAAGAAAACTCGTCCCTGAAAATGTTACTGAAGAAATGTGTTGCTGCTATTTTTTTGTACATTTTTGCAAAACAGTCTTTCCTATTTCAATCATTATCAGACATAAAAGCACCAATAAGTACCACGACAAACTTAAGGAGAAAAAAAACTTACCTATATAAAAGTGTCACCGTTTTTGAGATATTTAATTTTTTCTTAAATTATAAAAGAACGAACCTTTTCATCTTTGGTCTTTAGCTGCATGTACAAATTTTGGAAAAACGCTCAGACCCGTCGATTTTGTTTTCGAGGGGGACACAAGTTTGGCAAAAAATCACGTTAACACGTGCAGCCCCCTGGGTGGGGGTGACACCAACCCTAAATCTTAAATGGAAAGGGGGTCGAGCGATACCTTATTTTAAAGATCCTTCAATTCCCTTCATAATGATGTAAACTACATGAGCTTCAGTTCAGTAGTTTTGAAGATTTATTAATTAATGTTTGGGCTTTTCTTACCTGGAAATCTTTCTTCAAGAAATAATTTTTTGGAACAAAAAAATGCTCCAATAGCTATTTCCAACAACAAAATGATAAATAAACCATGGGCGTAGTGAAGAAAAGCATTTACTTATTAAGCAAATTTCTTCTGAAAGTAGTTCAAACTAATCTGATGTACCTATTAAAGTCTACTTTAAGCTTTAAATCAATATATCTTAAAAACTACTGAAGTGAAGCTCATGTATTTCACTTCATTATGAAGGGAATTGAAATACCTTTAAAATAAGGTATCACTCGACCCCCCTTTCCATTTAAGATTTTAGGGTTGGTGTCACCCCCGCTTAGGGGGCTGCATGTGCTAACGTATTTTTTTGCCAAACTTGTGTCCCTCTCGAAAAAAAAATCGACGGGTCTAAGCGTTTTTCAAAAAAAAAAACTGAGCTGCCAGTAAATGCGTCTGTTTCGTTTTCGATGCGCCACCCTGTAATGTAACTACATTGCATTTGTATATGATAAAGCAACTAGCTACGTGGTACTTTATAGAAAAAATGAGCAAAGTATAACCTTATTTGTACATGCAGCTAAAGACCAAAGATGAAAAGGTTCGTTCTTTTATAATTTAAGAAAAAATTGAATATCTCAAAAACGGTGACACTTTTATATAGGTAAGTTTTTTTCTCCTTAAGTTTTTTAACAACCATTATTTTGCAACCTGAACACCCTACAACTTTGTATCAACCTTTTTCACAATATATTTAAGTGGTGAATTCAAAATGCGACACCTTGTATGGCTACGGATCATTCTCAATTACCCTGATTTGTTTTTTTCTGCAGAATCAAGTAGGAATTCCCTGGTACATAGAATGGTTGATCTACTTCACCGTGGTGCTGGTGCCGATCCTCCAGACGCTGTTCACAATTTTCCTGTTCGTCACGAGTACATCGTTCATATGTTACTATGCATTCATCAGGATACAATCCAGAGATAATTTGCTCGAAAACAAGAAGCTACATT